TGTTACATGTTTAGTAATATATATAATTATAACCAGCTAGAAAAATATAAATAACACATCAAAACAAAACCGCCATTTAGATTCTAAAGTGTGGACACCTCGAAGAGCTTGTCTCTTCTAAAAGGAAGCAAAAGGAAATGTTATTATTTGGGCTATTAATGCTAAATTCAATCAAGTTTTGAGACTTTATGTTCTTAATTAATTGAGAGAAAGGAAATTTTGACATAAATGTGGCTAATTTCACTGTGATTAAAGTTCTAACTGTTTTAACTGCAGTAGTAATCCACTAAAGAATGTAACTAAGAGTAATTGGGATTTAAAGTTTATAATTTAAGAAATAAATTTCCATATGATCAATTGCATAATCCAAGTCATGATCAAAATAATGAACTAATCTATTTTATAATTCTATACGTTTGAAGTATTAAGTAATTAAAGTTCCTTTAAACTTAAAAGCAAAGTCCTCAATACCTAATTGCAACTATTGAGATTCTTTATTTTAACTTCAAGGTAAAGACCTAAATAACCTAATTTTTACCTTCTAGGATCCGTTGTACTAACCCAAACTAAAATCCCTATTTCTTGATTAGTTAGGATTAATATATACATATATACATATACATATATATATATATATATATATAAATATATAAGTGTAAATCTTTGTATAGTACAACTTTAACGTGTGGACTTTCATAATTATTATTTAATCTCTGATTATTTTAACTTAACAGATCTTTTGTCGTTAAACAAATAATTTTCAAAAATTTATAAGGAAAAAAGAATAGGTTTGATAGGTCTGCTAAGAAATTCTGATGAATCAACAAAAATGCACGTGCCCTAATGGACTAACTTCGCTCAATTGAAAAGTCTCATTTCATAAATTGTTGAGAAATGATGTCATGAATAAGGAAGAGAATAAATGGATGAAAAGTAATGAAACAACACCATATCTTATCTTATTAAAAACTTTAAACCTTAAGTTTATGGATTCTCCTTCTTTATTTTATATTTCTTATAGCCCAAAATATAAGTATCTTTTAACAATAATCCATATATTAATAAAATTCTTATTTTTGTGAAAAAAATATATTGTTTTTTCTTTTTATTGTTAGTTCTAATTTATGATAAGTGAGAAGAAGTTTATAAATTCATAGACACAAGAATCAATATTAATAAATACAAGATTAGCTGAGAAAAAATGCTTATTCCCTCTAGTCTTATTTACAGGGTAAAGAGAGAAGATTTCTTTGTCCTATTTATAAATTATCTCATTATTTTTATTACAAATTTCCCCCTTTACCATCTAATAAATGTTGAAAAAAAAAATATATTATTAAAGTGTATATATATATATAATAGTAGCAAAGTTGAGAACTTATTAAATTTTAAAGCAAAATTAATGAATTTTAAAGTTTTACTTGGTTTTAATAAAATATGTTGAAAGTAATATATAAATAAGACTAGAAGAGTATATTTTGGATTGGAGGGAGTATTAATTATTAAGATCTCAATTTTGTTTGATATGAGAGTCCTCACATCAGTTTATGTTCAGTTACACTTAGATATCTTCACAATCTCTTCCTCAAATATGAGGACATAATTTTTCATATCAAAGATGTAACAAACATCAAGTCCCTACTTTTGTAATCAAGTCACATATTTATTTTTTTATGTATAATATACAAGCCTCCGTACGTGATATATTTAAATATTGGGAAGTTGAAGGTGATCGAAGCTATCAAGTTAACTGTTTCTTGCGGAGGAGAGGGAGAGAAAAAGACATGCAAAAGGAAGAGGAAGAAAAGAAGAGTAGAGATTGGTGTTTGATATGGACCGTGTGGAAACTTCTGGATTGAGTGATTTTGTTAAAAGTCAAACAAGCATAGATCATATTCACACACACACACACCCACCGAAGATAATTAAAGGGCGCGCGCACACACACACAGACACACCGAAGAGAATTAAAGGGCCAATTTTGTTAGCTCACACATAAATATCAATTCCAGCATGCATTTTCTCATATTAATTGCTTCCACAGCTTCATTTTATAAGATTTTTTTTTGGGAGTGATTTAATATTCTAAAATTACCCTTCATTATTTCACTCTGATCTCTAAATTTCCCTCTCCCCCTATTAAATAAAAAATATTTTTAAAAGTTTATTAGTATACTAGTATTTCTTTTTAGAAAAATTAAGATTCTAAATTATAATCCACTCAGATTTTAAAAAAAGATATAAGCTAATAATAATAGAAAAATATGGATAAAAAAGTATTAGCTTTCATGGAATGCTGCTTAAGTTATTACGTATCTTTCTTTAATATGAAATAACAACTTCTATTAGCCACATAGCTAAAAAATAACATAGAGGAGTTTATAATAAAAAATTAAAAAACATGTTAGGGAGGTTAATTTTAACCTTTTAAAGGTAAAAAGGATTCTGTATAACTCTTTCAAAATTCAAATGATTTTTGTATATTTTAACCTTTAATTAATAAACAAAGTTTATAATATGAACTATAGCTATCCCAAAAAATGGAAAACACTGCTGGATATCATTTGGCAGGTTAAAAATAACGCTTAGGAAATATGTTCTAAAGATTAAAGACTTGATACCTTATATCTGCTAATATTATATATCAAAATTTCCCAATACTTTTGATAATAGCTTGATTTGATAATTATAAAATGACTTTTAATAATAATGTTAATTTTGTAAGCCTGTAAACTCCTATATATTTGAAAAACTAAATAAAAGCGCACAACTAAAAAATTAGCTTGGCAAGAGACTAATATGATTGGGTTTAAAGGAAGTGATTATTCTCTCACAACGTGATAAATCTAGATTCATGGCTACTTGAGGCTTGGAAAAAGGTACTTATATTTAACGCTTAACAATGCCTAAAACAATATTACTTTCAATAAAAAAATACTTATGCATAGTATTATAGAAAATAGCAAGGCTCGTAATTTCTCATATTCTGTATATATACCATATGAAACAAAGGTTAAAATAAAGTGAACAGCCAAAACAAAACAAATTGAAGGCAGCATATGGAAGTGGGAGGGCTGGTGGGGGAAGTGATTGAAGCCAAATTGAAGGAGGAGATCGAATGAAATGACAGAAAGGGAACACAAAATAATATCAACGTAACAGAGAAAGCGAAGGGAAAAAGACACTCTCTGGATTTGAAGGCCCCATGTTCTTCTGCCTTTTCCTTTAGTCATTATTGTTTGGATTTCTAATGAATTCAAATTTACTTCAACATTTAATTCTACAAAGATAAAATTTAGATAGCAGTCTTCATGCACTTTACATAATTATATACTCCTCCTATATTATGTAATCAAAAAAGTCACACCAAATATATGTATTCTTCTTATTTGTCCCTTTTTCAATAATCAAATACATACGATGGATTTACTTATAACTAAACAAATTAAAGACTGAATCTTATTTAATACATCTCTTTTGATGGCTTTCGTCTTTAAAACTATATTGTTGTAACCAAAAAAAAAAATTAGTAAAGAAAACATGTCTTACTGTGAGAAAATGAAAAATCCCCAACATATGCATGTGTTGATTTTTTAAAATTAAAATACACATTTAATCATTTACATCGAAAATTAAAAAGAACTCCTGTTGAAGGAAATCCCTTCTAATGGTTAAGAATTATTAATCCTAAATTATTACTCGAATAGTATCTTGAACTCTAAACTCTTAAAATGAGTAAAAACTCCCTTTAACTTGTAAATTTTAAGCAAATTATCCCACATTAATTTACATATAATTATCATCATCATTACTTTTGACTTTGTGAAGCCCATTCAAAGGTTGATGTGACACTAATCCTCTTTTTAACGCGTGGCATGCCAGTTGGACTAAATAACAGCCAATGTTGCATAGATAAACAATAGGGTGTAATTTACTTAGAATTTAAAAGTTAAAAAAAATTTTTATTCATTTTAAAAGTTCAAGATCTAAAATGCTATTTGAGTAATAGTTTAAAATTTAAGATGCTCATTAACTCTATAATCAATAGAGATGGTTTGAAAAAAATTATAATAAATTTACTAGGAGACAAAGTAGATTAAAAACAAGGTCTTTTATTTAAAATTAAAAGAATATAGTATACATGTGACCCTTGTAAACACTGTATTTTATCCAGACATTATTTTTTTAATTTAATAAAAATAATAATAAATAATCAAAAAAATACAAAAATACAAAAATAAAATTTAATCCTTTTTAGGATTATATTTTCAAAACAAAAAAATTAATTTAATTGATAGGGTTTAATTTTATTTGAGATAATCTTTTGTTGGTTAAGATTTTATTTCATTAAAACAACCAAAAAATACAAAAAATTTAAAAAACAAAGTTTAATCCTTTTTAGGATTATATTTTCAAAAAATCATGCTTAAGTCTTGAAAATCCCCCCAAATTATTCAAAATATTCAAAAATATTGAAAATTAACTTTTGAGAATTAACTTTTTAAATCTTATTGTTTTTTTCATAAAAAGATAATAACTATATATTTTAAAATTAGATTTCTTTCTCTCTTAATTTGATTAAAAAAATATAAAAACCTAAGTTGCCTTTTACGGCAAGAAGACTGGACAGAAAATAGAAACAAAAGAAGCAGAGGCGTATGCTGAAGAAGCAGAAACACGAAAACAAAAAAAAGTACAGATCCTTTGGCACAGAAAAAAAAAGTAGAACCAGATAGCCATACAAACACGAAAACACTTTGAGCCAGACGCATGCATGCACAGCAAAACATAGTAGAAGGAGTAGCAAGCAACCAACATACGTACACACACTTTTGGCTAGTAGAAAAACAAAAACAGAACAGAAACGCGAGTTGCAAGCACATAAGCTCTTCTCACGCAAGCTCTTCACACGCAAGCTCTTCCCTGTTTTTGCTTTAAAAGGAGACAAGAGGCGTGCACGGTAGAGAGACCGAGAGGATAAAATAGTAGATGCAGAAAACCAGAAGGAAAGAAAAGGAAAACTGGAGACAAGAGGCACAAAGGAAAAGAGAAGAAAAATAGAGCCTGAGGACTAGAGGAAAGCCGAGGAAGGAGAGAGCACCGAGAAGGAGAGTAATAGACGAGAGAAAAATGGAAGAAGAAAGAGACTAAGAGATTGAGATTAGAAGCAAAAAACAGAGCACCGAGAATGAATGAAGAGGAGACTGAGATCAGAAGCAAGAACAGAGCACAAATAAGAGACACAAGAGAGAGAGAGACTAAGTGAGGCATGAAGAAGATGAAGTCCATGAATGACAGCAGGAGCAACAATAAGAGTGGGAATAATATTAATAGTAGTCGAAACTGGTTGGGGTTTTCTCTATCACCCCACATGAAAATGGAGGTTACTTCTAGCCCACCCCTTCATCATCACGATTATCATCATTATAATCATCAACCTCAAGTTTCTACTGCTGCTATTTCTAGCTCTGTTCTGACAACCTTCTGTCTATCGCCTTCTCAACTCAATAGTTATAGGATATGTTATAGTGCGGTGAAGAACCCAGGCTATCATTCTCCATTGACTGCCATGCCTTTCAAGTCTGATGGCTCACTTTGTATAATGGAAGCTCTGTCTCGATCACAAACTCAAGTGATGATGCCAAATTCATCTCTAAAACTGGAGGACTTTTTAGGTGGTGCAATTATGGGGACTCATGATGTAATGGCTCTGAGCCTCAACAGCATTTACTATGGCAACCAGGCTGCATAGGCTCAATCCCATAGAGACCATTCTCTTGACTTTCTTTTGGAGCCCTTCAAACAGCAAGACCCCATCTCTGTTCAGTCACATCCTTATTATTCTAGAAAAATTAATTAATCAAATTAATAAATTTAAGTTGTAATCATATTTACCGATTATATCTTTTAGTCATGTGATATTTTTAAATCTCTATAGACTTCTAGTATAATCGTGTTATCGTATAAGTCAATAAAGCTCTGCAGATATAATGATTAAGTTTTTTTAAAAAATATATAAATTATATATTAAATTAATTAAATTAAAGATGTATTTAAATAAATTTAATTTCTTTATCGTGTGAGATTTTGAAATCTTCGTAGATATTTAGGATAATCATATTATCATATAAGCTAATAAGGCTTTACAGGTATGATAATTAAGACTCTTTAAAAATATATATATATATATATACATACTTAAATAAATTATTACTAAGACTGAAAAATATAAATAAATTAAATTATTAAATTCTTTTATCATGTGAAATTTCAAAATTTTCACAGATATTTAGAACAACTACATTATTGTATAAACCAATAAGGCCCTGCAGGTATAGCAGTTAAAATTCTCAATCATAAAACATAAAAGAAAAATAATTTCAAACTCTTTTCTTTCTTTATTCCAAAAATTCACAATTTGAGAAAATAATTGAAATTAAATTATTTTTTACAATTTAAAACACACATATCAAAATTTCACAAATTATTTTATTTGCAAAATGGTGAATTATTTCTAATTAATTTCTCTTCAAAAAAATATTTCCATCAACAACTTTTAAGCCCAAACTACGTGAACTTTGATCCCCATCACAAGGTATGTAGGCCTTAGAGTCAGATTCTAGGTCAAGTCATCCCTCGATAAATAAATATTTCTCACTTAATTTTTATCATTTTTATATCAAACACATAAATATAAAAGGAATAATTAAAATAATTATAAAATCATATTAATAGAGCACAATAAATTTTAGATAACCATTCTCACAAACGGGTGTTGTGAAGTGTCTAACACTTTCGCCACACTCAATCGACTTGCGAACTTATTTTCTATTTTTGCAGAACATCTTTATCCTTCCTTTAAACGGTTTTCCAAGATTTACTTCAAAACCTTGGTGGCGACTTCTCGTTCATTCGGTTCCCACCCTGAAGGCTAGAACCTCCGCTTGTGTGCCATTCGCGTCGTATTTTTCAAGTGCGACAACCCTCTAACTTTACATATGGCTTTAGTTTGGTTCTTTAATTTTAAGAAGTATCTTTTAAGTCCTTTAATTATAACACTGTCAATTAAAAATAATTATTAAACTTAATATATCAACATGTAAGAATATTTTGTCAATATTTAAAAGCTTAATGTAAGAATTTTTAATTTTTTTGATGACACTGACGATATTAAGATTAAAAGATTGAAAAACACACTTTATAAATATAAAGGATTAAAACACAATTTTGTATAAAATTAAAAAACTAAGTGTACACTTTAGTGAAATTAAAACAAATTCCTCAACTAGTAAATCTTATATTTAGGACAGGAGAAACACACCCACATATATAGCGCGTGAAACACAAATGAGCATTTCTTAAATGATGTGACTTAAAATTGCAAGAAAATTGCGTACGGTAAACAATTAAACCAAATGAATGTATATGATGTTGCAAAAAAAAAAATAATAACAGGTTTAGCTTATTTAAATTGCATGAATTAGACGAGTTTCCAAAAAGAAAAGCAAGCGGGAGTGAGAAAAGACTTGGGGAATTGCCTTAAACTGGTAAATTCCGCCACCTTTAATTTCAACGCGCAACATAAACCAACCACCGATGATGCGAGCTCGTAAGTAATATTCTCAACTCCTATCAATGTTAATTAATAATTAATAGAAAAATATATCTACATATCCTTATAGTTTTACTCTATTTTAAATTAAATTTTTGTAGTTTATTTTGTTTTAATTGAACCCTTATAATTTGATTAATTAAATTTTTTTTAATATCTGAAAGTTAAAATTCTTAAATTTTTCCTTTTAAAAAACAAAATTAAGAAATTTTATATTTATTAAATGATTATATGAATTTAAAATTAATTACATAATTTTTATAACTCAAAATTTAGATAGTTAGGTTGTCTTCCAAACATTTCTTATACTTATTGAATTTTCATAAAAAAATTAATAAAAATATAAATAGTGTATTAAATCAAATTTTATTTTTTTATTTTGGCTTTAAAGTATTAAATTAATTTTTTTTCTTTGTGGAATTTAGTAATTCATTATTAATTTTAATTTTCAGGATCAACATATGAAATAGATCAAACTATGAGCACTTGATTAAAACAAATAAAATACAAGGACCCAATTCAAATCCAAGCAAAACCATAAGGGTATGAAGTTAATTTTTTCATAATTTATTCATACCGTACTAAGCTAAAGTGTCATGTTGACTACTTTTTTAAAAACATTAAGAGGCAAAAAAATTTATTGTATGTGCTTTTTTTTTAATCTCATTTATAAATTACTTTAAACATATTTTATATGAACAATAAAAAACATCAAAATCTGCTTTATAAATAAGACTAAAATGAATATTATCTTTGTCATATAAATAAATAAGGCTGGATAGTACGTATAGTAGAACTAATAACTAATTACAGCACATAATTAAAACATGAATCGGAGGAGATATATTAAACTGGAAAAAATGAAGGAAAAGGTCAAAGAAGGTGAAAGAAAGAAAGAAGGTATAGTTAATCAGTTGAAGAATATTTGGTTTGATGGAGAAGGGATAAAAATATTTTAAAGGGAAAGCAAGAAGGGAATATTATTTTATTACTAATGTAATTAGGGACATCGACTATGATTGGAAGAAAATGGAGGCTGTGTTGAATAAACTAGAAAGTAGGCTAATTGAATGAAATGCAGCTGTTGGCATCGACTTCCAACCACTTGCTTTCCTTCCTCTCAACTGCCCTAATTAGTACGTCAACACAATCCCTTCATTTTGCCTCTTTTTTCACTCCTCCTGGTTATTGTTCTTTTATTTAACTATTCTATTCAATTATTTCTGCTAATTTTTGTTCTTCTAACATCATTCATTTAAAAATATACATTATGTATAAGAAATTAATATTAGTTTGAAAACACTCATTTTTCTTTCATCTACTTTCAGTCTAATATTATTAGATTATCTCTTTCTCAAGGTACCAAGAGTAAAGAGTTAACACATCCCAATTAAATTGTTACATACATAATAATATTCAAGCTCCAAATCATTTGCTTTGGTGATGAGGATTTCTATTACTTACGTTAATTTTAATTAGTCTACACGATAAAATTTTAATCATTATTGACTAAGATCTTACTCATCAAAAATAAAATTGTCGGGATTTTAATGAATTTAATATACGCATAGATCCTACATATACAAAACTTGGATATGGAAAAAGATATGCGCGCAGGGTAGAAAGATACTAGCAATTTCTTATTAATAATGGACCGAAGAGACACGTGGAACAAACATTATTCAATATTCATTTTTAATATTTGGATCTCAAAAATTGTTCAACAACATCACCGTCTTCTTCCCCCTCCCTTCTTTTTAAACCACTTGCTCCCTCCCTCCCTCCCTCCCTCTCAAGCCTAACCATCCCAAGGCATCTTCTCTCTCATCTTAGAAATAGTCATGGGAGCTTTCCGACGTCGTTTTGAACCCATCTCGAAGTGCACCACCGATCAACGGTCCAACCAGACGGTGGCTTCCGACCTCGACGGCACTCTCCTCGTCTCCCGTAGCGCCTTCCCTTACTACATGCTCGTCGCTCTCGAGGCGGGAAGCATCCTCCGCGCCCTCCTCCTCCTCGCCTCCGTCCCCTTCATCTACTTCAGCTACATATTCCTCTCCGAAACCCTCGCCATCAAAACCCTCGTCTTCCTCACCTTCGCCGGCCTCAAGATCCGCGACGTGGAGATCGTGGCGCGGTCCGTGCTGCCCCGGTTCTACGCGGAGGACGTCCGCCCGGAGACGTGGCGGGTGTTCAACTCGTTCGGGAAACGGTACATTGTGACGGCGAGCCCGAGAGTGATGGTGGAGCCGTTCGTGAAGACGTTCTTGGGGGCGGACAGGGTACTGGGGACGGAGCTGGAGGTGACGGCATCGGGGAGGGCTACCGGGCTGGTGAAGGAGCCGGGGGTGCTGGTGGGCGAGCACAAGAAGGTCGCCGTGATGAAGGAGTTTGGGTCGCCGGAGAGCTTGCCGGATTTGGGACTGGGTGATAGCGCGAGTGACCATGAATTCATGTCAATTTGCAAGGTTGGTATTCCGTATTCATATCATATTAGTCGTACACTAAAGTAGTAGTAATATGTGCGCGATGTTTTCTGTTTTCAGTTTTCACCGCGAGAACTTGTTTTTCTTCCCACTTTTCACTTTTACTAATTAATTTATTACCTCATCTTAGCTTCCCGCTTCCCGGGGCCAGTTTTATCTTTGAGTTTATACTTACAACAGACATGACAAATTAAAATTTAAGTCTTACTATTACATCCTGCTAATTGATTACTACATTTTAATATATTATACATTAATAGATTGGTATTTGGCTCACATGCGGGATATAAACTGATTTTTTACTGTTATATATAAGTATACGTAGTAGGAGAAGAATAAAGTAGGAGAATAAAACTACTCATGGCACCTACGTTTTATTCATTGATATATTTCATCTGGATACAAATATATTATATCTATTCATGATTATTAAAATAATCAGATGCTACTATATGATCCATATTTTCCTTTTAATAATATATAAATATAGTTTGTACAACTGTAATTACTTTTTCTGAGGATATACCAAATTTTCAAAGTGAATGTTAATGGACTTGCCAAAATTTATATAGTAGGATTTGCTATTTTTGATGCACCCAAAAAAAAAATTCAATATTTTCCATGCAAATACTTGAAAAAAAGTTATTACTTGAACCAACGTTCAAAGCAGTTAATTTTATTGTCCGATTGAAAAAGATATGACCCACCTTGATAAATAAATAAATAAAAAGCTACATATAAAAGAAGAAGAAGTTGAGTTTGGGTTTGGTGAGAATGTTAATGGCCATGAAATGAGTCGCTCTTCACATGTCTTTCTTTTCTTGTGTTGAAGCTATGTATTTTTATTTCTCATGGAATAATGAGTCCTCCAACTCATATCTGTTGGCTTTCTTAATTTCCTTCACCTCCTATATCATACAAATGGTCCCCCTTTGTTGTTCGAATTTGGTTCGTTTTATAAATGCTATGCCCTCTATCATCCCTCAGATTCATGCGTTCTTAACTTCTGCTTTTCTTTTCTCTCATAACCCTTCAACTATATTTCCTACTATCAATATATAACTGATCTCATTTCCCTATTTTGCTATTTCTTAAGTACAACCCTCGTTTTACTTGGTAAATTGAGTCTTTTCGTCACTCTCCATAAGTTCCTCGTGTCTTACCCACTCTTTTTAACACACAACAGTCAATCCGGTCCCTGTATTTTGTTCCTCTCATGTGATAATTGTGAATAATCTTTGTGATTCGCATGGTTCTTCATCATTGAGTAGTATCTAAGCATCATTCTTGTGATCTTCCTTATTCAATTTTATTTTTAATTCCTCTGTAAGGGGGTTGTGCTTTGAGTCTTTTTTATTGAGTAATTTTATCGAACAACTATCATGCAAGCATTATGTTTTGTTATTCATGTAAAAATTTTCGGGGATTGTAATTTCAATCTCTCTTCGTATTGTTTAACGATTGCAGTTGAAAGAGCAATTCCTGTGAGTTTCCTTATTGACCTGCTGTACGTGTGCTCTGTAAATATTGGAGTAGTTCATGGGCTGAATTTCATTCACTGAGGAATGTGATCAAAGTTTTATCACGCAATATTTAAGTACGTAAAAAGGTCTTAATACAGATGTTAGTGGGCTACGCGCAAATCCAAGTTCTGTTTCTTCTTCATCGTGTAAAATCTATTAAAATTATAATTAGCATCGCCCTGCATAGTTTGTCATCACCGAGTAATGAGGGCGATACTTGTCAGTTGTCACTTTCTTATTGACCTTGTTTTACTCTGCAAATTGACTGTTTATCGGCTGAGTTTCGATTGTTCAGTAATGAATCATATCAACCAGCTATGATGCAACATGCAAGTGGATGAAATATCTTGTACAACTAATTATGAAACTATGTTAATTAATTACCCACCTTTTTAAATTTTGGACTGAAAAGTCAAAACTTAATTACCATGTTCTGAATTTGTGGCTCTGTAAGATAGGTAAATGTTCTGAATTTTTTCTTTCCTTTGCAGGAAGCATACATAGTGCTAAGGACCAAGTGCGAGCCACTACCAAGAAACAAGCTGTTAAGCCCTGTTATCTTCCACGAGGGTCGCTTAGTACAAAGGCCAACCCCTCTTGCAGCCCTCTTGACTTTCTTGTGGATGCCAATTGGCATCATACTCTCTATTTTAAGGGTATACCTTAACATCCCTCTGCCCGAAAGACTCGCTTGGTACAACTATAAGCTTCTGGGAATAAGGGTCATAGTGAAGGGTAGCCCACCACCACCCCCAAAGAAAGGCCAAAGCGGGGTCCTATTTGTATGCAACCACCGTACAGTTCTAGACCCTGTGGTCACAGCAGTTGCACTAAAAAGAAAAATCAGCTGCGTCACTTATAGCATAAGCAAGTTCAGTGAGATGATATCACCCATCAAAGCCGTGGCATTATCAAGGGAGAGAGAGAAGGATGCTGAAAACATTAAGAAATTGCTTGAAGAAGGTGACTTGGTGATTTGCCCAGAAGGTACTACTTGCAGAGAGCCATTCCTGCTGAGGTTTAGTGCTCTTTTCGCTGAGCTCACAGACAGAATCGTCCCAGTTGCCATCAACACAAAGCAGAGTGTGTTTTATGGTACATCCGTTCGTGGGTTTAAATTCTTGGACCCATACTTTGTATTCATGAATCCTGTGCCTACCTATGAGATCACTTTCTTGAATCAGCTTCCCGCTGAGCTGACATGCAGGGGAGGCAAATCTGCCATTGAAGTTGCCAATTACATTCAGAGGGTTCTTGCAGGGACTCTGGGTTTTGAATGCACGAATCTGACAAGGAAGGATAAGTATGCTGTGCTTGCAGGAACAGATGGGAGGGTTCCATCCAAGAAAGAGAGAGCTTGAAAATTGAAAAGGGGGACAAAATGAAGAAGGCGTCGTCCCTTTTGATTGTGTATCGGTTTCTCGTATGTTTCTAAAGCGTTTAGAGAGTAAGCATGATAGTAATAAGAATTTGATTGTAATGATGATGGCCATAAAAGTTCAACAATTTATATGTGTTCTGTCATTCTGATATAAAACAAAAGTATAGTTTCTGTAATTGGTGCAGTCATGAATTGTTAGCATAAGGCGGTCAAAGGGTTTTGCCAATACAGTTTTTGCAATAAACGATGACAGTTATGGCAAGGGGAGAGTGAAAGAGATGGGGCATCGAGGTACAGCTAAAAAGGCTGACATGCATGTCTAAAACAACATAAGTATCTTGTTATATAATGAAACAGAGATGCAAGTACGGTTAGGAGAAGTTAATAGGATGCTTGTATGATGTCGAGGCGTCATATTCACACAGCAAATTGGTAGACAGAAGGAGTAAATAATTTGGGGGAACACGAAGGGCACCCAATTCAGTTAGTTAAAAAAAGGCACAGCTCGATCATACAGGGAGTGGGATCACACACGAGAGAGGTAGCTAGCTAACTAGATTCAATCTACTGGACATTGATGTTTTAACGAGAGCTTGATTGGATATATTTAAAAAAATAAGAATAAAAGGATAAAAATAAATATAAAAAAATACTAAACTGACTTATAATTATCTTTTCTTATAAATAAGATCGGATGAAGACGATGACTTTGGTGGGCAGAAAAAGCTGACGCAAGAGGGACCAAGACGTGGAGTTTGAGGAATGTATGGGTGCTCAAATAACACAGAGCCACGTGCAAGTAACAGATGGGCCTTAATATCGGTGAGTTACTTCTCTCGTCTTTTTCCGGTGCGGATTCCGTAGTTCTATATGGACGCATGTAATTTCAATTTTTTGAATGAATAGTTCATTATCAATAAAGATAGTATAGATTTAAGAAAGAATGACAGTTAAAAACCTCACAAAGACATTAATCTCAATTAGATATTATATGATCATTAATTAAGATTAATATTCTTAGATGATTCTTAATTATCAATCAAAGACTATGATCTTTAATTAGGATAAAAAAACATATCTAACTTTAAAAAATTCTCTTCCCTAAAGATTAAAAGGTAACAACAAAACAGCTTATATCGTGTTCTTTATTCTTGTTTTTTGCCACAAAAAATCTATTCTCATGTGCAAAAAATGTGGCCGAAAAATTAATGGAGTGGATCATCATCTTCTCCTCTCTTGATAATAGGTAATTACATGCTTTATTTCTTTTATATCTTCTTCTTTGTCATGCACGTAAGAAAAATTTATAATTTCCTCTCCTCTATCATACACGCACGAAATAATTTTTATATCTTTATAAATGATATCTTACACAGTCTCTCTTTTATAGCTATGGAAAAAAGTAATTTTTTTTGATGATTAATATACTATATATATCGACACACACAATAAATAATTTCTGAGAATGATAGTGTTAAGAAATAAGTGAAAAACAAGAAAGATATAACATGGACGTTGAAATTTTTTTGTTCTATGATGAAAAGTGTGTTTATGTTGAAAAATGCAGCTTGGATGTTGAATTGTTGTAGCCATGGTTGGGACTACGAAAAAAATAGTTATAAAGTAATAAATTTGTATGCTGCTTCTAGTTGTTGAAGGTTTATTTTCCATATGGCAAGTATTTCAGTAAAAGAAATATTTTGTTATTTTCATGTTGAAGGACATTTTGTAAAAGATTTACAAGGAAAGATGACCTATGAAGGTGGAAGATTAATTTTTAAATTAATTAAAGAAGACATAAATCATGAAGAGTTATTAAAGATGGTGTCATTAATAACAGGAGTTAAAAGTATTGCAGCTGACTTGAAATTTACAGTGAAATTTTGCTATTGAATGACTTTTTATATACACATCTGTATTATATTTTTTGTACTTATAGAGGTAACAAGTTATGTAAATAAGTTTGCAGTTTACGTTGTTTTTTGGGAAGAAGATTGCAGAAGTACCATTTAGGTAGATAGGATATTTTTTGTATAAAAGAGGATGCAAATATGGTGTATATGTATTGAAATCAGTATAATATAATGTGGATGTCTATTTCAAATTTAAATATGTATAAGTGTAAATGCTATCATAGCATAAGACTACTGAAGTCACTAACATATCATAAGAATAGTGAAACATTCTATTACACTAAACACAATTAATAAATGAAACTTATGATAATCAGAGGATCAGCTCAGAAAGTGATTACCAAGGTTTACTCCAAAAGTAAAGGATCCCAAGTTTTTTAAATAAAAACAAGTTAAAATCAATCAAGATCTTTCATATCAGAGTAAAAATAAGTTTCAGAAGCATGAGATACCTCAGAGAAGTGAAAGAAATCGAAAATGGTTGAAAAATAAAATATGTGCTGTGATTCTGAGCCATGCGCCGTGGCTCGTGCACGCTGCGCCGCAGCGTGTTGCTCTTTGCGCCATGCACCACAGCTTAAGCACCATGCGTCATGGCATATTGCATGAAATTTTCACTGGTTCTAGTGTCATTTGATAGCAAAATCAGGGGAACTTTTGACTCACCCCGATTCTCCATCCAATATTTGAATGATGTGATTTATGTGTCTATAGAAAACTCTTTACATTAGCTAGGTAATGGCATAGGTTTCACTTCTAAAAAGTCACACTAGGAAGTTGGACACCCAAACGCATTTTCACCACTTTTCAATACTTTTACACAAAAATAGGTGTCCAAAACCCTCAATAAGTGCCAAAAGCTTTTCCTAACACCTGAATCATATCCAATGGACCTAGGACTAACAGTACAACACATCACAAATATCGAAACATCAGTATAACTAAAATTTACTCCTCAACCCCAATTTACCAAAAAAAAAGAGGGAAGGTAATTTGCAATTGCATTTAACTCAAATCATTCAAAACTTGCTTAAATCTTCATTTTTACACTTACACTAGTATTTTGACCCTATAAACATTTATATGAGTCTAGCCACTCAGTAATCAAAGTTAAACATATCCTATGCAATTATATATCAATTATAAAATAATTACAGGCACAAGGAGATCAAATATGTAAAACAAGTCCACATATATCACAATTTATTATTTATCACTTTATAGCTTTTTTACTCACATAACTAGTGCATTGTCACCATATTCTTCGATATGTGACATGACCCATACTCTTGTGACCTACCACCACTTAACACGTGTGACACGTCATATATTTACTTTAACAATAATCAACTAACCTTATATCCTCTGCATTTTCTCAAACTGAAACCGTAGACTATAACACTGATTAGGGCTCCATTCATGTGACTGGACTACCTGAGCTCACCAATCATGAGGTGTAACCCGGCCAAAGATTACAGGACTCATTCTCAAACCATGACTTCCCCCATTCTCGAATCCCTGGGGTGTCTCATAACCTAGGCTAATCTCCTCATTGAACCAGTGAAGAGAACTAGGTTCTAGTCTCTCGACAAACTATGGGATAGTCCCTCAACAAATAGTGGGACAAGGCTATACCCTCGTGCACTAGAGGGCAACCTCAATATGATATGGATTTTTCTCCACTCCTAATCCCTAAGCGAACTCCTGTTATTGATCATGCCATAATCATTACTCACTTGTTTTCACTTTTTCGCTTTCATATACTCACTTTTACAACAACCACGTTAGGCTCACGACTTTGCACTACACAATTGCGTATTCTCATCATTTCTCAAAGTCCATTGCTCATGAACACACAACTACGTCTACACATCATCACATTCATTTTTTAAAAGTATAGACATATTCTTAGTAAAATCCTCTTGACTTTGCATTTGTATTTTCAATCCAAAAATAACTTTTTCATGCACTCAATGAAACTAACATGTAATGTTTACTTTAATAATCAATCCCATGCATGTAATATTCACAATTTGCATTCAACAATCAATTAACATACAACTATTTAAAGTAGAGTTTTTTTCTCAATTACCTCAAATTTTTGAGAAGTCAAAGGTTTAGCCTTAAATCAACTAGCTTTCAAGTTTGAATTTCCACTCCAATAGGTGACCAAGAGCCAAAACTACAATCAACCAAGTTGACTTCCATCAATATAACAAACTCAAACATTTGAACCCTCAATCTCTACTTCTAAATTGGTCAACCTTCACTTTACAAGAGGTAGAGTCTAACCATTGGTTTAATAATTACCTTTAGCCTCCAATAGCATTAATAAGCCATTAAATCCCTATTAATGACATCACAAACTTCCAACCACCCATAATAAATGGGATTTTCGGGTATTAATAGTGCCTAACAACCCAAGACACCAAAACTCATTATACCTAAATTTAGATACTCTAATCTACCCTCATTAGCTCTATTTGAGTCAATAAATTCAGACTCATAACTTATATAGACCGAAATCCCACTTCCACTATCAAGTCCCAACCATAAACTCATAAATGTGGAAGAAATGTGAAGATTAATGAATATGATACTTACTTTAGGTATTTGTAGCCTTCAAAATACTCTCAAAGTCGTCCCTAAGCAAACCCTAATAGAGCATTAGTGTGTCCCTTCTTTCTTTCCTCTTCTCTCTATTTCTGTCTCATTTTGAGTCTGATAAACTATAAAAAATGGCCATGCGCTGCGGTGGACGCACAACGCATTACGGCACATGGCACAGAGAGGTCCTTTCTTGCTCAAAAATGGCTGTACACCGCGGCGAACGATCTACGCGCCGTAGCGTGTGGCACAACAATTTTAACTCTTCCTTTTCTTCTCCTTTCAATGCTCAGGTGGCCCGCCTCAATACCGAACTCATAACTAGGGCCGAAATACCACCAAATATGATTATTAAACCTCTCTGGCCACACACCACTTTAACTTACTTAATTACCTTAATTAGGTTTAATTAATTAAGGAATTAAAACTCAGGATGTTACAAATATTACTATTATAACTAGTGAAAACATAAAACCTCACTTGAAAATAGATTTTTTCATAATATTCCAAACTTTGAAGTGTAAATGCTGTCATAACATAAAACTTATTTTTGAAATGTTCCAAGGCTAGTTATGAAAATATAAACATCACTAAAAAAATCACTAACTTCAATGAAAAATATAAGCACTAATGTGGCAGTCAAGTACCACGGTTCCCTTAGCTATGGCATGTAACGCTTTTCGCAACGATAAACAATGCATTTCATGACAATTGTCATGGTAACATCCAAAGGTAGACTTCTAAAGTACATTGTTCCTCTGTCCGATGTTCAATTAGAATGATTCAAGTACTTATAAAAAACTTATTCAATTATCTAACTAATAATACTGGTTTCATTTCAAAATGACATTTCATTTTAAAACTGGACACCTGGTTGCAAAACAATCACTTTTTCAAAAGTAAAAGGTAGTCAAGTGTGCCGCAACCTAACCATTTGCAATTAGCCTCAAACAAGGCTCAAACCACATCCAGTGGACATTAAACACCTATTTGAATAGCTATACATGCAATGATATAATTCACAAATTTTGGCCATTTAAAAATCCCAATCACTTAAAATGGGATCAAATGCTTGAGGCATTACACACTGGAGAAATTGACCATTTCATGACATAACCAAAGCAATTATCTATCAATATGTCCTTGCAGTGGCATTTTAGCCCACGATATAACAATAACTCATAACAGTATCTCGATTAAAATGCAATTTCAACAAACACATCATGCAAGTACATTCAAAATTATATACAAATCCTAGTTGGCAACATACACACATGTACATACATATATACATATTATTTACATATTACACATAATCAAGGCACTATAAAAAGCAGTATGAAACTACTCCTTGCCTGGCTCTACCCCTTGGCTCCTACCAGTGCTATTGCCTGTAAAATAGTAATCATGAGGATGAGACAAAATCTCAGTAACCAAATAATCTAAATTATCTGTCCACAAATCAAACTATAAATAAAGCATGCAAGTGGGACAACTATAAATCATATGTTCACAATAAACAAGAATTGTCAATAAAATATAACACACATAATTACTATTCATTCAAACATAATCAACTACCTCTAACTGAATTTGTAGACTAACAACATATTGGACCAAATCTATATGACTAGACTAGTCCTAACTTACCTAATATAAAAAGCAATTTGGTTGAAAGTGTTATTACCATTTTCAAACTATAAATTCCTCCTTTTTAAATATTTAGGATGTCGTAATGCTATGGCTCACACATTTGTAGGTGATAATAAAGTTGCTAGTATAATAATCGAACACCAAAGCCACACATGATGTCAATAGTACCATATAAAATTATTACCTTTAGAGTAAACTCCCACCCGTTCATTAATCATGCAAAATTATACGGTAATGCATTCTAATGTATAATTAGTTATTTAATTCAAAGTCAATTATAAAACACATTTTGTAAGATTTCGTAAATTAGATATGTGTATGTGTGATGCTATTTTCAAAATCCTTTTAACGTTTCAAGTTTTCGAAACTATATTTATGAATGCATAAATCAACCCACAACACGCTTCCCTGTCGAGTGCTTTATGTTCCACGGCTCTTCGTTGCTATCTTGTGGAATTGCTTGTAGCAAAATCGTTTGTCCAAATGGCATCAGCAGATAGATCAGATTATGGATAAAAAACAAAAATGTTTCATGTAGATAAAATAAACAAATGCAAAATAGGACCTTTTCTATAAAATGTAGCAATTGATCAAAGATTAAAAAGGAAAACTCTATATAAATTATAAGAAAATCTTTTCACCAGAAATAATAAGAAAATATGGATACTTGTAGTTGTTAGCTTTTCAAGCCATAAAGTTTAAAGAAATTAACCAATCACTCTTATGAAGTTTTAAAAGACGGTTGATGTAAGAATATCTGTTGGGAAACTGGGGAGAAAGGGGCAAAAATTAGGATAAATGGGCTAATTGACCCAAAAAAAATCTTATATTTAAAAAATATAGATTAAATTTTTAAAAATTAAAAATGTGATCAATTCACATTAATATATAAAGAATTTATTATTGATATATAAAAAATTTATCATGAATATATGACAAATATAATAAATTAATTATAATATAAAATATAATAAATTATAAAAATAAGGTCATTTGCTCAATTTTGTCCCATAGCACAGGCCACCCTGCAATGGCTCCTAAAAATTAATAAATCATTTCCCAGGAAACCTGCTGGTCTGTGTCTGAGGAAAAGACAGAATGTTATGTGGAAAAGTAAAAAAAGATTTTTTTACTTGTACAGCTATATATATATATATATATATATATATATAATATTTTATTTGAAAAATAAAATTTGGAAAGTAATAAACAACTTTTTAGCCACAGTAAGTAAACGATAAACGTGAAAGTTGAAACGTCATGATATGCTATAGCCAGACTGGAGATTGCATTTATTTATATTTTTTTTCTGGGAAATCTCTGTTTCAAACTCTGCATGTAATGGTTTGAAGAACCATAAAACCCATTTCATTCACATTACTTGTGGATTGTTGACTCCTGAGGGAAAAATGAACGGAGTACTTGCAATGTAACGATTACAAGTTTCCGACTTGGCAAACCTCGTCTAATTTGGAATCCGTTCTTCGTGTCAGTGATTTTGTTCTTGAAATTGCTATCTATGTGGGATAAACCATGAACAGAGCTTCAAGGGATAGGAAGGTATGTGTGGGATAAACCAGAATACGCTTTCTTACTCTTTCTGGGTTCTCTTGCTGGGCATTTACTGGGAAAGGGAAGAAGTTTCGAGGTGTCCTAAAGCTCATTCAAATAGATTGTGAGTAATTCAACGTATTTGAAGGTTGCTGACTATTTTTATTTTTTCATTTGATGCATAAATGATTTTTCCCTCTGACCTGTATTTTAGAATAGGAATCTGATTGAACCTTGATATATGAAACCATTGGATGTAATTTAAATTAATCACTCACTAGCAAATACTTACCAACGCGTTTGTTTTGCTTTACACTCCGTACTGGAAACCTTTGACTTTATTAGTTTCTTGAAAATAAAGGATGCCTTCTGCGGTACATTTTACGCGCTGCCTCTAGTAGCTGGGTTCCGGCTCTGGTGATTGAATTTACATTGGCAATTTTTATTGATTCCAAGGCCTTCATTTCAAGAGATGTGGTCTTATTTTTGTTTTATGACTTGTTCTTGTTCATCTGCAATGGCAAAATGCCCTTTGAAGATGATAATCTATATTAGTATCGCTGCAACGATGCCTTCTATCATGTCTTGCCAATTTATTTCTCCGGTTCCTTCTATCAGTGTATGCAAGATTTAGACAGTATGAAAGGTTTGTAGAACTGATGAACAAGCTTTCCCTATTTCTTATTCTTGAAGGGGGTTAGCGCAAATTTTTGTAGTCCAGCACTTGACAATTGAGTAAAGGTGCTACTCCAAGAAAGCAAACTGTACCTGTGATCAATAATGCTGGTATTTGATGGAAATTAGGGAAAATATGTGGAATGTTCATTTACGGTTGTGAGATTAGGGAAATCTAAAATTTAATTGGCAAGGAAACAGATCTGAATTGGGCTGGATCTGAAAGGAAAACGGATTGAAATGATGCAGAGAGGAAATTAAATCCTCATTTGGCACTTGAGTTTGATTTTCTCCTTCTGCCATGGTGCTTTCCTGACTTTTTTGGAAGATCATTTGTATCAGGGGATGAGTCACATTTAATTTACAAATATCAGTTGACCTTTGAACTTCTGATCTTGCTGATCTTGCAAAGGAAGCAAATGATCCATTATTGGAGGTGATAATAGTTTTTTTCTTTTAAAATAAGTTCAACCATTTTATGTAAGCTGAATAAATGCATGTCTAACAAAATATGTTTTGCTTTCTCAATAGTAAGTTACATAATGGGGTCATCTTTGTGCATGTTGGAAATTGAGTGATCTATGGCATCTTCACTATGATTCTTTCTTTGAAAATCTTATTTGTTATCCTTTAACTAAAAAATGATTTCAATGTGGATGTCAACATTACATGAATGTGCTTTATATGGATCTAAAATATAATATGTGCTGTCCATTATGTACTCAATGAGAGAGAGAGAGAGAGAGAGATTGTTACACTCTTTAGGGTAAGTTGAATAATAGTGTCCTTTAATCTTAGCAAGAATTTGATTTAAGTTACATAAATAAGTAATTATATGAAACTGGTGGCATTGAAACTGTAAAAAGAACTGAATCTGACAGGTTTTGAGTTAATTGTCCTGCACTCTCCTTTACATGCTCGAACCATTTCACATTTCATCATTACGTGTTTCATTGAAACATGTCTATTTCTTGCAACTCAGGTGTCTTAAAGATCATGAAGTTATTGCAGCTATTGATTTGCAGTCCATGGCTCCAACCGGAGATGTTATCCAGGTTCTGGAAGACATAACTATGCCCATAATGCTGGCGTGTATATTTTTTAATATTACCTAAATTATTTCATAATAACTCAATTAAGTGAAAGTAAAAGTTGAGAACAGTGCACGTGTCATGAATCTTGATCTGCTTCAGAAACTAGATTGTAGGCTTTGTTCTTTACATAGAGTCTTGGGTAAACCACGTTAGTTATGAATAGTAAGACTTCTCATAGATTTTATATTGAATATAATGTATGTGGGTGATCAAAACCTTTCCCTTTAAATTTGAGTGAAGATCTCTGAGCTGATGTTGTTGGTTCTTTTTATTTTTCTTTTGCTATTGGGTTGGGTGGATAAGTTAACATTTTGGAGAGAAGCTATTGGAAATTTGGATTAGGGTTCACTACTGAAACATACATATCTGTGTTTAAGAATTTCATTGTTCGAGTCATTTAACAATTACACATTCGATGCTCCTCCATCGTTTGAATTTCAACCTCAAATTTACTGCTCCCTCTTAGCATGCTTTACGTGTTTGAGATCCTAAGAAGCAGTAAGGTTTTGGTCCTGGTAATTTGATCAGTCTCTAATAACATTGCTGTTTATTCACTAGTAAAACATGTGCGTATTGATATTCACTCTACATTTTCAATTGGCTTATTTTCACAACTAATAAGGATGATATGGACCCCTTTGAATTAATTATTCATGAAAGAATGACATTTGGATCCAAACTTTGTCCCTACTAAAAAAAAAAAAAATGATGTTGTTAATATAGTCTGTCATAGTTGTCAATCTCAAAAGGGTCATGCGTTCAAGGGACCAAAGTGTCACTAACTAGCTTACAAGGACCCAAATGTTATTCTCCCTTTTTTCATTCTTTGTATCGCACACCAGTTCACAATTAAGTTTGGCAGTATTACTAAATCTTATGCTAGATTGCTTCCAACTTGGTTAATCCTTGCAGGTTTAATTGATGTCGCCCATGTTTCTAAGGAAGGAGGGAAGTTTCTTTCACAAATATTTAGAAGACAACGCACAAGCCTTCTATAATGTCAGATTTGCTCTGTGGGAAATTTATATGGTGGGAACTTAGTTTGACAAATGCAAAAGGATTTTTCTAAATCTCCTTCATCCTTCCTTTTCCAGTTATTTTTTGCAGCGTACATAAAGAAGGAACAATAAATTGTTTTTTCAGACTTTTGATTAACACTTAAAATGAAAGTTACAAACCTAAAGGTTAATACCATATGACTGGTGACATGGAAAGCTGCATCTCCACAATTCATAGATGTAGTAATATCTGCTAAAAAAGAATGACAAAATCCTCTAATATCATTTCAACAAGTCTTGTAAAGGGAATCATGAGCCAACTAGATATACAAAGTAATATAGTGGTACTTTGTAAGAAAAAGAAAAGCACCAAGTTGCTTTCTAAATTGATTTGATTCATGATAGCATGCCTTTTGTATGGTTAGAAAACCCACTCATGAGAGTATCTGAAGTTTCAGTTGTCCTTTTGAAATTGTTGTGCAGTTCTATGTCCTTGCTGCATACTCATCAACTGTCTTTGAAAAGTGATACAGGCGTATTAACTGTCTTTGAAAGTACTCAGAACTTCTTCATGATATCATTTAATTTTCACCACAATTTTTTATTTTCAATCTATATGCCTAGATCACTATAACATGCTCTTGCTGCCTGCGTCACCTTTGCATTTGCAGCTGAAATTATTCTTCCCTGTGGCAACTTTATCAAAACCAAAAAGCAGCCGCAATTTAAGCACGGGTGAGGATTTTGGTTTCCCCTTTTCCTACTACTCTAACTTTTGAGAGGTATGCTTATCATGTTCTTTACAGTTTTCTTCCTCCTAAGTTGTCTTCCATTAGGAATTGGGAGTCATCACTAAAGCATATCTGTTCTGTGACAAATGCAGATGAACTTTGAATTTGGAACCTGTATAATTTTGACGTTACCAAGTTAAGGTAATTTTTACACAGGAAGAGAGGTGGTTGATCTTATTTGTGCTAATTTTCTCAAGGTGCTGTTTGGTACATTGGCATCTTGATGTCCCAAGGAATTGGATACCTATGTATAACATTACAATAATGAGATGTACGCAACAGTTAATATTCTTCTACTACGTACGAGATGTATAACACATAAAGTCAATGTTTGTTCACATTTGTTCCACTCAAACAACTGAAAAATAGATTTCAGGTGTTTGAAAAAACCAGCATTTCTATATATCAAACGCTGCAAGTGTTTTGAGGTTAACCCTTCAGGGGCATTTGCAGCCTGTGAAATTTTATTCCATTCCTGAAGGATTCAAAAGATCAGCATTGCTTGCCTGAGAAGGATGGAAGTTCCCTCTCGGATAGATAATGAAGGTAATAAGGCAACTCAGTTTCCTATATCAAACCTACGGAAATTGACAGGAACAAATTTTAATTATAGATTAATTTTCCTCAAATACAAATTGTTTTATTGCTTCAAAGTTAGATTCTTCAGCCCTTCTTGAATGCAATTCAATGAGCACAAGCATCACGTTCCAAGTAAAACGCTTTTGCTCATTTATCATCCTTTCTTGTTTTCATTGCTCTAATCTCAGTTTTTTCATTAGGCTATGATGATTTTATAGTGCTTGCAGATTTTAGCGGGGGTTGATTAGGATGCTCCAATAGGATCTGTATCCCATTTCTTGCTTTACAGTTCCTTGGTGGCCGGTGGGCATGATATCCACTACGGGCCGAGGGAACGGGAGAAAAAACTAGTCATGGAATCCAAGAATTTGAAATCTCACCTTGGATTCTTGATCATGATAGGCACTTTCTTTCTTTCTTTCTTTCTTTTTGGTATTTTTCTCTAGTAAAATATGGCTATTGGATTGACCATTATTACCGTACGTGTGAACTGTAGCTCTTTCTTTTTCTGCCTGAACTATCATTGCCTGCCTGGTTGGCATCTTCCTTTTTGTAACAGAGATTTTGAAATTCTAAAATTCTTTACAGATAACCGTCCAAGCTTACAACTGTTCCACTGGATGATGCCGATGGCGATACTGTTTCCTGAACGAGGTTCTTTCGACATAAGCTGAACAAAAAGACAAGGTATCCCGCAGATACTGTTGCCTCCTTTATTTCCTATGCTTTTTCATATGGCAACAAACACCAGTGATATCGATCCAAACCTGGAGGAACATGACTTGCATCGCAGGGTTGCTGGATCATCTAGGACAAATTTCTCTGGTCAAAGATTGCTGCACAACATTAAACTTTGTTGGATTAAGTATATATTAAATAGCTTAAGCCAATTTGATGGGATTTACCTTGAGGTTAAATTTTCTTCTTTTTGCCTAGGTTGGTACTTCATTGGAGTTTCAGAGGCTTCAAAACCGTACCAAATAGTATTGAACTTCGTTGAATGAAGTATATATTAGGTTTGTCTTTTTATCAAAATAGCTTAAACTAATTTGATGGGACTTACTTTAAGGTTATGCAGCTTTAATTCATTCTTCAGTTAATCAATGTGGGATTTTTCAATACATTCTAATACAGAGAATATATCAAGGGTGATATTGGTTGATTTTTACTGTATGGGTGGCGGTGGCTTATTCACTCAATGTTGGATGAAAAGCTATGGTGAGTATGTGAAGATAATTAGGAAGATGTATGAGCTGGAGTACCTAAGTCTGACACGAGGCCTGGATTCCCGGAAATGCTCCTATCCTACCTCTAGGCTTGAGATGTGAAGTCTGAATACTCCGTCCGGTCTTATTTTGTAAGTAATTTTTATTAATTTCATCGATATCAATATAATAAAAATATAAAAAATAAAATTTAATAAAATTATAAACATAACTTTTAAAAAATAAATAAATATATATTTTTTTTTCTCACTTTTTAAGGATAATTTATGTATTTTATTTAAAATAAAATATTACTATCAATTTAATAACTCGTAAAGTAAAACATTTTACCTTTTTAAAGGGTGACTAATAAAGTGAATTAAAGGGAGTGAAATTTTAGGTATGCTACGATGCAAGTACATGCAATGGCTCAGATTTCGCCTACACATGTGAGGTGGTGCAAATTTAATCTTGATCATTGCATGGTCATAGATGTGTTGTACACGAGTGTCTCCCACGTACATACAACAACCGGCAGCGCATTTGAGCCTGCTGAATTCAGGGTGCTTCTAGTTACGAACGTGGCAGCTACCACAGCTAGCCAGTCCTCTGAAATACTGACTCGGTTCTTATTATGAGACAAATTTAGAGGCCTTTTTTAAATTTCTTAATACAAGGTAAAGTTAAAGTAATTAATATTTTTTTCAATTTTATTCTCATTTATATATTATCATTTAAATTTCTAAACAATAACTTATTATAGTTATTAATTACAAAGAAGAGGGAATTGGGAAAGTTCCATATATTTTTAATAATGTTAAAGCTGTAAAGAAATGTTGGTGTTACGGAAAGGTTTCTTAAAAACAGAGCACGTTTTACTGCCAACTAATGATTCTAACACTTTAATCATTATAAATGAGCCAAACTATCTAACTGTTGTCATTAATCATCGATATTTATAAAAATAATAATTCCTATCCAATGCACGTGAACATGTTGCCTCTTCAATGTCATTGTTCAGCTTGAATTTGAGCCCTTGTGAGTTCCAGTTTCAGTAGGTTAAATTCTAATCCCCTCCTCTTTAGTCCAAAGATATGATGTTTTAAGCTCTGATAAAATAATAAAATAGAAGTCAGGAATATGAAAATAAACCGAGTGATTATACCAACTACCAAGAAGCTGGCAATTTAATTTGACATTCAAACGTTTGCAGCATCAAACTCCACACTTTTATGCGTAAAAGAAGGAAAAGAAAAGGTTTGTAAGGCGCGAGATGGACTGTTCTGAATCCGAAGGCAACAAAAGATCACCAACTGAACCCAAAAATCTTTACTGATACAAAACTTTCATTTTTCCTATCTTTACTGAGCATGTTAATCCAAATCAACAAAGCATACCCTTTTCTCTATTATACATGCCTTGGAATCTTACAAAAAATTGTCTCTAACACCAATTTGCAGAGAACTCATCTGGAGGGTCTCTCCCTGGAGGAAGAAGAGTGTAAGAACTCAATGCAATCTTCTACAGCCTCAGCTCTGTGTGAATCGGTAGGATCTGATAAAGAACGTGACCTGACCAAAGTTGATGAAGAAGAAACCTTCCTGGACGATCTTCTTCTCATGGAAACAACCCTTACAGTAGCTCTCGCCACCTTTGCTCCGAGCCGCAATAGAAATTTCACCGGTGAGAATCTCGGGTCTTTTGGCAATCGGAAAGTCCAACTTCCGATTATCCTCTTTCTGTTTCCTAATACTCTTCCACTTCGCTCACCATGCTTGAGGAAGAAGGTTGGTTTCTCATTTACATCAGGACTGAAACACGCCCTATTGCTTTTTGTTGACATCTGCGAGTGGGAAAATGGGAGGATCAATTGCAGAAAAACCAGTATTTGAGCCTCGTTTCGTGGTTATTGAAAATAAACAGAGAGAAACAGAGGAGAAGCAGAGAAAGAGAGAGAGTAGTTGCTAGTGGGTAAAGAGGGGGCAGTTGAATGGCCTGGCAGGGTGTATATATATAGACAAAGAAATTATAGGTAAGGAAGCAACTTACAGTGGAGATGGGAAAAAAAAAGTGAATTATTTCCTCTTGTCTTGTTTATAAATTATTTATATTAACCTTATTAATACTAATATAATAAAAATATAAAAAATAAAATTTAATAAAATTATAAATATAATCCTCAAAAAATAAACAAATTATATAATATTTTTTTATTTCTTCCTCTCTTATTTTTTAAAGATAGTGTAGACATTTCATTATGAAATAAAACATTATTATCAATATAATGATTCATAAAGTAAATCACTTCACTCTCCTAAAAAGTGACTAATAAAATAAATTAGAGGGAGTAACAATTTTCAAGAAAATTCAAATATGTATATGTTAAAAATGTAGACTCAAAATCATGAGTGTTTGGATTGGCTAGAAAAGTAATCCAGCTTAATCAAAGATCTCAAATCCAAGCCCTAGACATGCAACCATAATTAAATTATCTTTAAAAGGTATGCGTCCAAAAAATTGCCTGCAAGCAATCAATCAAATTAATTTCTACAAACGATTTGGAATATCAAAGCAAAAGAAACAAAAATTAAGACCTGATTTTAGTGTGCTTTCATATTCGAAACTTGAAAGTTCATTAGGCTTGAAGTATCAACTATATGGTAACCCGTCATCTTGTAGATGATATGAGATAGCAAGAAGGGTCAATTCTTCATTACCTAAATTGCAGGCCCTGATTCTAATATTATGTCAAGAATTATTTAACTTAATTTTCAACTGTTAATTGAAACAAGAAATGCTTTAATTATAATCTAGAATATGAATGATGCCAACGACTAAAGGGAGCGCTGTTTCAATACGCAACAAACATTTCAAATTGCAAAAGTTCAACTTGACCTTGAGAAAAGATGATATGATCAGACATGATGCAACTGCCTTGCAAAGATGAGTGATTTGAAATATCCAAAAGTATGAGGAGCATATGAAACAAAAAATCATTGAACTGATGCCTTGATCAGTTTATTGAAATATATATTTTGTTTATAATTTGTCTGACCACAATTCGATCATAATATTAATTATGAATCCTTGAACCAGTATTTTTAATGGTTTGGTGATTGATATGTTTATATATCTATATATATATATGGTTGGGATGAGCGTTTAACAGTGATGATTTAATGGGGAGGCCTACCATAATTAATTAAGCTAAGCAGTTTGGAACAAGTGTGATTCATGAACAGGAGGAAGAGTGAGAGAGAATCTGAGAAAGATGGAAAAGAGAGGAGAGAGAGGGAGAGAGAAGAAGGGGTTTGGTCAAAAGAAAGAAATGGTGGAGCCATGTAGAATGGAGAGGGAGACAGAGAGTGAAACTGTCAAAGGTTAACGCAAAAGGAGATTGATGGTATGGGTAACACAGACAGACACAGAGTATCCTCTTCTCATCAGCGTTGCTTTTAAGGTCCTATTTGTTGGCCCTACCCCTTGCTTTTTTGCTTCCACTCTCCTTCTCACTCTCACTCCATAAGCTTTAAATATGAGAAGAAGAAAAATATTCTATATGCTGATAGTCTTCAATTACATATATATGTGTGTTCTATTCGTAATAATAAAAACCTGAAATGTTTCACCCACCAAGTGTTTATTTTTTTGTTCTAGATAACATGGCACAGTTATGTTGTGGGTTGTGGTGTGAAAGGAGTGAGAGAGAGGAAGAGGGAATCAGTTTGAATATGGAGTTGACGTGAGAATTGGGGAATTTTGAAGTCATGTTTCCCTTTTCTTCTTGTGGAAGCTACCTGGTGGTGCACTCGAAAATTCATGAGTTCCATTCCATTATATGCAAAAGTAATATATATTGTGAACATACTATTAGATATTCGCCGTTTATTTAACGTATCAAATGGGTTAGGGTGTTGAGTTTCTTTTCTTTTTTTTTTCTAGTTTGAATTGAATTTTAGATTTTCACTTCAATAGTAAAAAAGACATATTGAAGATTCTTCTAATGATTAAAAAAAATTTCTTTTTGAGAGGTTAAATTTGTTATTACCGATTAAATTATAAGCTAATACTCCTTTCATATTTATTGCTGTTTTATATATTTTGTTTTATTTAAAAATATATTTCATTTGGGTGTTCTATTGACTTGATTTTATGTGGAAATTTTCTAAAAGATAAGAAGCTCAGCTCCATTATAGGGTCCGCTTCTTTTAAATATTAACTACTACTTTTTTTTCCCCAAAGGAGACTAAGCATAGTCAGGAGCAAAAGAGTTGAATGCATTTATGTTGTTTGTGAGTAGGTGAAATTGGTGGTCACCTTTGCTCCTTCTTTGCTTCTCTGCATCCAAGAGCAAATTTGGACCGTTTAAATTAACTTGAACATTTAGATTTAATTCTTTTATCTTTATTTTTATTTTGTATTTATTAAAATAAAACGTTTATAAAAATTACAAAAAAATATATTGTAATAAATCTGATCATGGATAGTCTAGATTTCTATAAAAAAATAGGTCAATTTACAAAAATTTTAAAAAATTATGATATTAAATTAGATTGTTCAAATTAAATTAATATTGTCTAAACTGATAATGAGCATATTTATTTAACTTATTTTATGAATATTTATTTTTGTAATATAAATTTAGATTGTCTAAATTGATAATCAAATTTATTACAATATAATTTTTATAAATATTTTATTATACAAAATATAAAATAAAAAAAAGATTAGATCTTAACTTTTCAGAGATTAATGCAGAGGAAGAGGAGCAAAGGAGGAGCAGAGACACAGAAGCAAAGCCGACTCCTTCGAATTGGGCCAAAGAAAAGCCTCAGCCTACCTACCTGCGTTGTGAATGGTGAGGTTTGTGAGGATGGATAGCAACAATAATCACATCATAAATATGGAGACGTAGTCAATGGGCTTTAAAGGCTGTCTTAATGATGCCCTCTTTTTAGTCTTTACTCACGTGCCCAGCATTAATTAAACACTCACCAAACTCTTTTGAATCACTCTTATGAGCTTCATTGCTTCTAAAACATATTTCCTCCATTTTTATTTATAAAAAAAAATTATATTATTTAATTTAAAAAATTAATTAACTATAATAATTATATCTAAAAATAAAAAATAGATTAAAATATTATATATTAATCAATATAAACAAATATTAATTATTTTTTATTAATATAAATTATAAAAAATAATTTAAAAATGTATAATAAATATTTATTAAAATAGGTGATTATCTCTATTAACTAACTGGTGAGAGATAAGAATGAGAAATGAGAGGACTAGTGAGACTAATTAATAGAGACATCAATAATGAAAATGTGAAGAAAATAAAATATTTAAAAAAAGTGGAATTGTAAATAGTTATGATCTAAAAGAAATTTAAAATTATAAAGAAATTCTAATAAAATATAGATTTGGTCAAAGACTATTTATGTATCCAAATAAATGACTTGGTTCAAATTTAAATATACTCTTTTTAATCCTATTTATTGAAATAAAAAAAATTAAATCTCAGTAGCTCTCTTTTAAAATTTAATATGTTTTTACCTTTATCTTTAATAAAGACAAAAAAATCCTTAATCATTTTTTTTATCATTTAACAATTGCATAAAGGTAAATATGAACAAAGAAAATAATAAATCGTCTTATAAATAGAATAAAAATTAATCTTCTATCTCTTTCTTATAAATAAGATTAAAGAACTAAATACAAATCTTCATGTATAAACACACCCTTAATAAATTTGTCCTCCTTTCTCTTCTTAACCGTCCTCCCAGATTAGATAGATTTAGAGGGATTATTAAAATCCCTCCTCCTATTCATTTTACTAAGCCAAACAATGCGTAAGTTTGAATCGACTAATAAGTAAAGAACTAAGCCCAGTTTTTTGTCCTAAATAAAGAAGATAGTTAAAGGATTTATTTTGGTTATAAATGTAATATATCATCACTTTGTCTCATAAATTTATATTTTTTTAATTATTCATATTGATTGACTATAATAAAGGGGAGTTTCCTTCAATGGGTTAATTTCAATGCAAAGGATTCAATGGGGGTGTTTTAGAAAAATTAAATTAACTGATAATTTCTTTAATCTCTATAAATTGATTATTATATAGCTCCTATATTTAGGATTGAACAGTACAATGAGATGACCAGAGCAGCTTTTAATTACTAAGCAGAAATCATTGAAGAATTATAAATTGCTTCATATTTAATTTTAAATATCTAATTCTTTGTATCGATTAAGTACACGAATTTAAATTGTTGATCAAGCCAAGCAGTCCACAATTGATAAGCTAAAATAGTATTTTTGGAAGAATGATTGTTGGTTGCTTGTTTTTTTGAGGCATTGTTGTATTTATGAATCAATGTAGAAGGAAATGTGATTTTGTTTTTCATGCATCCTTTTTTATTTATCATTCAACAATAATAATTAAGGCATAGACTGTTATAAAATAATAATAATAATAATAATAATAATAATAATAATAATAATAATTGAGGCGTGGACATTGTGGACTGATTTTGCTGTGCCCCGTGTAACGCACAAGGAGGAAAAGCTATTTAAAATTACAAGCATAGAATAAAACAAAGAAAAATGAAACAAATGTTATAAAAAAAAAAATTCTTCCACGCTCACTCTATCATTAATCTTAATTAAGAGGATATTCAACTTGTTAAACAAAACAATGAATACACGCCCATTCATCCATATTCTTGATCTCCAACTAGATACAACATTCAAATGTTTTTAAACTAAAGTATGCATTTAATCATTTAATTTTATATAAGATTTTAATTAGATTCTTAATTTTATAAAATATTTTTTTTCAATCCTTTAATTAATCCTAATTTCTTTAGTTTTAAATGATAATTCTGTGTAAATTATTATTATTTTAAAAAATTCAGCTTAATATATCAATATTTAATAATATTTTTTTAGTATTTAAATG